TCATAAATTAGAAATACGAATTAATTAAAAACAAAACAAGATTCATAATTAAGAAAAAGTATAATACAATAATTTAGAAAGAGTTATAATACAAAGATGTCTATGGATCAACCGGTGTATCATTGCCGAGATTGGCGGGTGTGTCCTCCGGATCGTCCTGAGGATCATCTGGCTGCCGAGATGTCGTCGGAAAGCCATACTGGTCGAATATAGGCGGCATGAACGGTGTGAGGCGCTGCATCATCTCCTCGAAGCGTACGATCCTCGCTTCGGTCTCGGAGAGCTTCTGTAGCTTCTCTCGATGTTGCTCGAACTCCTCGATCTTCGCCCGGGCCTCTGCCAGTTCTGCAATCGTCCGCTCTTGGGAGCGTTTCAACTCTTCCACTTCACGCGTTAGCGCGACATGGTGAGTAATCGCCGGAGCAGAAGTTTCTCCCCCGCCCAGTTGAGATGCCAAGGTGCCGACACCATAGATACGGCCCTTGGCATCCGGATGGACAACCTATACAATGAAAGAAAAATTAGCATACAATCATATATTTTTAAAATTCAAAACTATTAATTTTATAAATATTTACCTCTAGATATAGGCTGTTAACTTCGGTTGTCGAGAGTTGTGTAGAAGCAGTACTCTCGTCCATCTGGGAGACTTTATCGTCGATCTTGGACTGCACCAACTCCTCGATCTGCTGGACCCGCTCATTCACATATGTACCGTCCGATCGACGGTGTGTGTCCTGAAGAACTCGTAGAACCGACGGTTCTACACCTTCTTTTTGAGCCTAAAAACAAAATAATTATAACTACTAAAATTTTTAAATAAATATAATTATTAATATAAAAGTTACTTACTATATCCATTGCGACTCTGGCGAAAGATCTTCTACCCACGATAAAAAAACATATAGAAAGTATCAATACATCGAATGTATCTGAACAAAGCTCATAATCAGTACATCATAGAGCACTAAACCAACACCTCCCAATAAAAAGCTTGCTGCAATAAAAAAAATTGATGTTAATAAAACAATAAATGAAATTAAAAGAATAGTTTGAATTTGAAAACTTACCGCAAATGCACAAAACCAACGCTCCAGAGTCGCTGGAGGGACACGAGTGATACTGAGCCAAGGACCCTGAAAATCACTCTGGAAGATGCTTACAATTGTCTTCCGTATCTGGGACTGACGACCGAACCTATGCGAGTATATAAATATACTTAGTTATATAACTGTAAACGTTAATATAAAATTTAGAAATGAATTGTTACAATGTTCCTTACCATAAAGTACCGTTGGTTAGCTCTGGGCTAAGGTGCGGTCTCGTCGTACGACGATCCTCGGATGCAAGGATTTCTCGGAGTGATACTGATGAATTTCCGATCTAACCTTCATGTGAAGGTTGCTGTGTGGATTGACCCGTGAAAGGTTGATCCAAACGAGGTGTGGGTATTGGGGGCTACTGAAAAATAGGGGTAGAAGGACTAGAAACACCGGATCCTCGTCCGCGAGATCGGACTCCGCTACCCGATCTACTCCCGGAACGTGACTGACTCATCTACATATAGAAATTCTAAACCCTTTAAACCGTAAATCGTATAAAAGAGAATTGAAACCCTAATCTGAAACTCTAAAAATGTAACCCTAAACCCTAAACCCTAAACCCCAAACAAAACCCTAAACTCCAAACGAAACCCTAAACCCCAAACGAAACTCTAAACTCCAAATGAAACCCTAAACCCCAAATGAAACCATAATCCCTAAATTGATAATTGGAACCCTAATACCGAATCTAAACCACTAAACCCTAAACCCTAAACCCTAAAATCAGAAACCCTAAACCCCAAAAAAAATCACTCCATAACCCCAAACGAAACCCTAAATCTGAAACCCTAAATCTGAAATCCTAAACCCCAAATGAATCCAAAATCCCATCGAAACAATCCAAAACATCGCAAAATCAGAAACCCTAAACCCCAAACAAAACCCTAAACCCCAAACGAAACCCTAAACCCCAAATGAAACCCTAAACCCCAAATAAAACCCTAAACTCCAAATGAAACCATAACCCCTAAATTGATAATTGGAACCCTAATACCGAATCTAAACACTAAACCCTAAATCCTAAACCCTAAAATCAAAAACCCTAAACCCCAAACAAAACCCTAAACCCCAAACGAAACCCTAAACCCCGTACGAAACCCTAAATCCCAAATGAAACCATAATCCCTAAATTGATAATTGGAACCCTAATACCGAATTTAAACCATAATACTGTAACCCTAAACCCTAAAATCAGAAACCCTAAACCCCAAACAAAACTCTAAACCCCAAACAAAACCTTAAACCCCAAATGAAACCATAATCAATCAATTGGTAATTGGAACCCTAATACCGAATTTAAACCATAATACCGAAACCCTAAATCAGAAACCCTAAATCCCAAACGAAACCCTAAACCCCAAACGAAACCCTAAATCTGAAACCCTAAATCTGAAATCCTAAACCCCAAATGAATCCAAAATCCCATCGAAACAATCCAAAACATCGCGAAATCACTCCATAATTCGCCGAAAATAAACCAGAAAATCCGAAAATTTTCGGATCTTAGAATTTTCGCACAAATCTCATCGAAACCCTAAACCCAAGCTTCAGCGAATCATCACCAAGGGAGAGAAGGAGAGAGGAAAGACTTACCTCGCACGGCGTCGGACAGGTTGGCTTGGACGGTGGGTGGCCGGAAATCGCACCGATTACCGGAAATCGCAGGAGAATCTGTTTTCGCGTCGAGGCGGAGAAGAAAGAAGAGGAATCCCGATATGTATTACACATTGCGACGGAACTTAACCGTCGGAAACCTTCGCTAATGTTTGAACACGTGGCCATTAGCGACGGAGTATCTTATTTAACGACGGAATATATCCGTCGCACACGGATTTTAAAATTTTCAAAAAATTTGCGAAAATTTCAGGCGGAAAAATACCGACGGATATCGACGGATAATATCCGTCGCAAAATAGAAAAATAATAAAAAAAAATTAAAATAAAAATACACACATTGCATAATTAATCAAATGAACCATACGATGATGTTTCCGTTGTTTCGGGATTAGTGTCTTCACTGCTATCGCCTTCTTCATCGAGGTTTCCAATTTCTAGTTCTTCAACTATCCCTTGTTCCACTACTAGACTCTCCACATCAATTGTTTCCGCGACAGCTATAACTGTGTGTTCTTCCTGTAGCGGGCTTTGTTCCACTGATC